AATACCACCAGATTCCTCAGAACTGACAGTGGAGGAGAAATGTTTTCCCAAGGAAAAAAGATGGATGCTGTCCTCATAAAGGGAGCATAGATTCCTGACAGGCAAAAATAGTAGATATTATAGCTGGGGATTTAGTTCAGTGGGAGAGCACAACTTAGCATGCATTAGGCTTTAGGTCCAATTCCCAGCACCAGAATAAAACAAATCAAAACAATAGCAGATGTCTGTTACAATAGATAGTCATTTATTTTCCATAAGATTTGAGAGAATCATTCACTTAACTGCTTGGTATCTGTTTACTGCTTCATAGACCTACACCCGATTATCAGAAATATTCAGTCTTACAAGGAAATAAGAGGGAGGAGTGCCTTCAATGGAGTTTCCTTCAATCTGCTCCAGTTTGTGCAGCTCCTAGAGACATTTGTTGGTGAAGATGCCCCCTTGAGTGTCAGCGAGAGCCTGATTTCCTTTTTTAAGAGGGGCTATTTTGAAACAAAAGAAGAGAAAATGAGTGCCTTAGAACAGGTGAGTAATATTACTTATCGATGAAACAAGTGAGGTCACTATTATAAGCAAATTTCTCAATTTCAGTTGCTCCCCATGTCACTCTCCTTAAAAAAAAAAAGTATGTCCAAATTTATCATTTTATTTCAATAAGCATAGCCATTAAATATCTTGTTTTATTGGTGAATGCGCTAAGATCATCCTCCAGAGAATTCATTCCCCTAAAATAACATGATTACTCCTGGCAGGAGATGGTTTATAATATAGCTTTGTTTTTTCCTTCTCTGAAACTTGAGGAGTAAATGTGTGTATGTGTGAAGATGTACGTGTGCACCATCTGCTCTGTGAGTGCGTTTACAAATGCACATACCTAAGGGTATGATTATGGCTTGAATATGTGTTTTTATTCTTGGGCGCTGAAGTAACACATATTTCCTAGGAACTTAGTACTTTCTTGGGTGGTAAATAAATGCATATGCATCATCCAATATAAATAACTTATGTTCTCATATGTGAAACATGTGACTCATTTCACCAAACTTATTCAGTAATTTCATCAGCCTTATGAGTTTTCTCAGCCTGATTCCAGAGTTGATTTCCTTTTTGCCTCCTCAACTGCAATTCCCCACCACTTAAAACAAAAGGTATATATTCACTCTCTTTTTTGCAATTAAATATATCTGTATATGAACTCAATTTATGATCTAATTAATATAATTAAAATAGTGTAAAAACATACAGTTAAATAAAATTAATGCCATCAAAATTAATATAGAAAAGAATTTTGGGCAGAGCACAGTGGCACACACCTGTAAACCCAGCAACTTGAGAGTCTGCGGCAGGAGGATCATAAGTTCAAGGCCAACCTCAGCAACTTGGAGATGCCCTAATTACTTTAGCAAGACCCTGTCTCAAAATAAAAAAATAAAAGAGCTGGGAATGTGGCTCTGTGATTAAGTGACCCTGGGTTCAATCCCCAGTACCAAAAGAAAAAGAAAGGAAGAAAGAGAATTTTTAAAACAGCCATTTTTTAGTTATTTCAACACTCCCTTTCCCTACAGAATATCCCTAGGAATTCAGTGAGAACATCCCATGTGTTTATCATATTTAAAAATTTTTTTTGATGTTGATGGACCTTTATTTTATTCATTTATTTATATGCGGTGCTGAGAATCGAGCCCAGTGCCTCACATATGCCAGGCAAGCACTCTACCACTGAGCCACCACCCCAGCCCATGTTTATCGTATTTTATAATGACCAGGGAAGATGTGGGAAGGAATAATACAAGATTCTTAAGAAGTACAGTATCCTTTCTAAGGTAATATGCTTGAGTCCAGAGAATGCCTGAGTGGTTTTGGTCTTAAGGTGAAACCTTAAGACACTAAAGAGGTTAAAATTAATAACTGCATTTTCCATTAATATCATGGTTAACCCCCAAATAAGCTGTTTTTATAAAAGATACTGCAATTATTTGGTATAAACACAGGATGCCAGCTAGCACAGTTAACATCGTGTCTTCTGTACCTTGTTAACCTGTTTGTATCCCAGGTTAGACAAAAGGCTTTCCGAGTCCGCCGGGAGCTTCTTCTAGAAGCCCTCTTTCAGAAGTGGGACAGTGATGGCTCAGGCTTCCTGGATCTGAGAGAAGTTGATGAACTCTTGTACACATACAAGGAGGGAATGGAAAAAGAATGTATGAAGAAAGGTAAAATATAAGAATGTTCTTGTTTAAGTTGTGGCACAACTTGGCTTCAAGTTTCCCAGTACTATGACAAATATACAGTTAAAAACCAAACATTGATTTAATCAAAACCATCAGATACTGCTTCATACTTATTAATGTGGCTATCATTTGAAAAATGGAAAAATAAGTCTTGGCAAGAATGTAGAGAAATTGGACCCCTCATGTATTTGTCAGCATGATCAGAAGTGGATCAGAGTGCTGTGTCCAAAACCTTAATTCTACATAGATTCCTTCTGTGGACCTGAATACCCTCCCTTGAGGTTAAGAGAATCCAAACCATGCTACAGTTCTGCCTGATTTCTCTTATTTTTCTCTCTTTGTCTTCACAAGGTCTGAACTATTCTCTCAAGTCTGACTGGTTTACAAATTTCTCTTCAATTTACTAACTTCCTCTCCTTAATGACTTTTTTTTCTCCTTTATTATATTTTCTCCTTCTAATCATTACTTCCCAATCAAAACCTACTAAAATTCTTATTCCAGTATGATAAATTCCTTTCTTCATTAGATCCCAGTTTAAATGATTTTGCTTTTTACTGGCTTTAAAGGTCTATCTGTTGACTTTTGAATACCATATTTCCAATCTTTAAAGTGTATAGTGCATGGGCTGTTTAAGTTCTTCAACCCTTTCCAAAACATCCTTACATTGTTGATCTTCAAATGTGCCTAAAGTTTATCAATTGTCATGTTCTCTTCAGTCTGCAAACTTTAAATTACACTGCACTGCTTGTCTAAGACTATGCCCAGAGAGTTGGCTATGCACTTTAATTTTCCATTTAAATGACAAGATTTGCCTTAATATTTAAATTTCTATTTACATAGCATACTTAATGAAATTTCAGAAGACATAATGAAGGGCTGGAGTTGTGGCTCAGAGATAGAGCCTCACTCTACCTGTGTGAAGCACTGAGTTTGATCCTCAGCATCACATAAAAATATTGTGTCACCTATAACTAAAAAATAAATATTAAAAAAGAGCACAATGAGGTGGTTCCTACTTATAAGATTGGCGAATTTCATAGCATAGAACTATACTCTACAGAGAACCCTATACATCCGTTAGGGTGGCTGGGTTCCAATATTGGGTCTTCACTAACGGGTCCTGTGAACCTGGGCCTGTAACTTAACCTCCATAGACTCAAATTTCTTTGTTTGTAAAGTGAAAGAGTGAGCCATGATGAATTTTTTAAAATTTTTTCTTATCAAATTTTTAATAAAGATCTTAGCCATTTTTTAAATGAATATCCTTTTACTGGATTTTTCCCAATTGCAAATGAAATATCATTTTCCATCCTTAATTAGAAATAACACTTACAATGGGACTGTACAAATTCAGGTCAAAATAAAAAATGCATGTATTTTGTGACTTCATAAGAGAAATGATGAATTTTAGAATTAAGGGATCTAAAAATAATGTTATAAGTGAATTCCATATATTGGATTATATGGAATTACATATAACTGAAACACAGCACTTGGGATAGATAAAAGCACAAAATGTAAAGCCCAGCAAATGAGAAAGAAATGAGGAGGCAGAATATGCTGCCAAATGAAAATGTTTGAAAGTATGAATAAATAACCATTAATTCTCTCTAAGGGCAGACTTATACAAAATGATTCTCAATAAACACGGATTGATAGTCACTTGGTCAGAAATAGCTGTTGACCTGGCGGCAGTATAGAAGAGTTAGCTTCTACTCTCTAAAAAGAAAGAAAATTCTAAATTTGAGTATTGACTGACAAATTATTGGCAAATCTTCAAACAGTTCTTTTGTTTGTTTATTGTTTTGTTCCGCTCTTCTTATTTCTTCTGTGTCCAAGATTAAAAATTGAGTTGCTGAGTGCGGTTACACATGCCTATAATCCCAGAGGCTTGGGAGACTTAGGCAGAAGGATCGCAAATTCAAAGCCAGCATCAGCAATTTATTAAGACCCTGTCTCTGGGAAAAAAAAAAAAAAGTCTAGAGATGTGAGTCCGTGGTTAAGAGCCCCAGTACCAAAAAAAAAAAAAAAACAGGTTTGTTTTAACTTTTGGTACTGAGGATTGAACCTAAGGGCACTAAACTATATCCACACTCCTTTTTTATTTTTATTTTGAGACAAGAGACTTGCTAAATTGCTGAAGGCCTCACTAAGTTGCTGAGATTGGCCTTAAACTTGAAATTCTCCTCTAAAAATTGGGATTTAAATATCATAAAGTCACAGGGTTAGAAGTTTGTAGAATTGTTTCTGTTGGTGCTCTCAAAATGGAAGTTTGATATATAGAAAGAGAAACTTGAAATTTTAGGTTGTCATTCCCCACCTCTTTTTTTTTTTTTTTTTTTTGGCAGAGGGTACCGGGGATTGAACTCAGGGATACTCGACCACTGAGCCCCTTCCCCAGCCCTATTTTGTATTATTTTTAGAGACAGGGCCTCACTGAGTTGCTTAGCACCTGGCTTTTGCTGAGGTTGGCTTTGAAGTGGATCCTCCTGCCTTGGCCTCCTGAGCCTCTGGGATTATAGGCCTGGCCACCACACCCTGCTGCCCCCCCTCTTTTTTTTCTCTCATTGAGATTTTAATGTAGGGGGTGGAAGGAAAGGGGAAGGGAAGGAGTGGGAGGAAAGAAGGGGAAGGGGCAATACTGGGGACTGAATTAGAACAAATTCCATGCTTTATGTAATTATGTCATAGTATATTCTATTGCCATGTATAACTAAAAAGAACCAATAAAATTAATTAATTATTAATTAAAATATAGATGTAAATAAAATAAAAATATGGAATGCTTCATGAATTTGCATGTCATCCTTGCCCAGGGGCCATGCTAATCTGTGTATCGGTTCAATTTTAGTAAATGTGCTGCTGAAGCAAGCACTCCCCTTTTTATTTCTATCTAATACAGCCTAATCTTTTGAGCAGAAATATCACAAATAAAAAGCCATAGAACATGTGACTTGTCTATACCATAGAATTTAATGAAATAGATCACTCTTACCCCATTATTTTCCATGGAATAGCTGTTAATGCTGTTGGCTATGTCCTTTCGTTTTCTATTTAAATTATAAGATTTGCTTTAATATTTAAATTTCTATTTAAATAAGACATTTAACTCTTAAAACTAAAACTTTTTTGAGACAAGTTCTTGCTACGACAATATGTTGATACATATTCAGTCACATTGATTTTTCATAGGATTCTCAGCATATTATGGTAAACTTTTTTTCTTTCAGGAAAAATATGATCATGTCCTATGAATTTGATCAATCTTAGCCTCTTTAGCCATGAACTCAAAAGAGAGAAATGGAATTACACCTGGTACAGCGCAGAGGAAGGAAGCTTTGAGAAAAGATTAAAACTTAAAACTTCGGTTTTATCCAAGTGCTGTGGCAGCAACTCAGGAGGCTGAGTCAGGAGATAGCAAATTTATGGCCAGCCTCAGCAATTTAGTGAAATGAGACCCTGTCTTAAAATAAAAAATAAAAAAAGTACTGGAGGTATTGCTCAGTGGTAAAGTATGCTTGGACTCAATCCCAAGTACAAAAACATAACAACAATAAAAACACTTGGACTTTAGTTAGATCTTTAGTTTGAATACATTCTCTTCCTAATTAGTGCTATTGTCTCTTTCAGTATCCTTTTCCTCTTTTTAGAGAATGAGGCTAATTCCTACTTCCCTGGTGAACTGTAGGAATTAAAGATGATATATATATATATATATATATATATATATATATATATATATATATATATATATATATATAGAAATATTTATTATCAGGTTTACAATACTCCAAAGACATGAATTTTATTCTCTCTCTCTCTCTCTCTCTCTTTTGATACTAAGTATTGAACCCAGAGACGTTACCACTGAGCCATATCCCATCCCTTTTTAATTTTTATTTTGAGACAGGGTCTTGCTAAATTGCCAAGGCTGGCTTTGAACTTTTGATCCTTAGTTACTGGGATTACAGGAGTGTACCACTGTGCCCAGCTTACCTCAATGTCCTGAGTAACTGGAACTACAGGCACATGTGCCATAACAACTGGTTAAACTAAAACATTTTGGTAATACATTCTGTTACCAAATTCCAGAAATCTTTTTTCCCCATATTTTTATGGGTGCATTATACTTGTATGCAATGGTGGGATTCATTGTTATATATTCTTACATACACACAATGTAATAATTTAATTTGGCCAGTATCCTTTCCCAATATTTCCCCTTTCCCTCTTCTCCCTCCCAGTAGTCCCTTTCCTCTACTCTATCCCGAAATCTTGAACATTATTTAAAAGTCTCATTGAAAAGCACACAAAGTGGTTTTTTTGTTTTGTTTTTTTTAAGAAACTAAAAACTGGGCAAGTAGGTGTTGTAAAATGACAATTTCTTTGCTTTAGAACTCTGGAATAAGGAATCAATAGGAAACTCCTCCGTTGTTCCTTGATTTTCATGACCTTGACACTTTGAAAGATTGTAGACTTGTTTTTAGGAAGTCCTTTATTTACATTTGTCTAATGTTTCCTCTTGCTTAAATTCAGGTTATTGATCTTCAGCAGAAATATATTGTGTAATCAATGCTGTTTTTGTTGAATGATATCAGAAGTCCCTTGATAACTTTGATCAGTTTATTGAGATGCTTTCTAAACAGGTCCCTCCACTCTAAAGTCACTCTTATTCCCTTTGAAACTAATAAGTACTTTATGAATGTGCTTTGAAACTATGTAAGTAGTCCTTCCATTTTTTGTCAAACTTTTCATTTATTCATTTATAGCAGTATATAGTGGCTTCCTATTTTATTCAGTGGGTTATAATCCAAAACTATCATTATTTGTTTTGATGCTAATATTGTCCCAAATTTATTTATTTTTTCAGTTATGTGCACAGTTACTTTATTTCTGCAGAATCTCCTTGGTGAACATATTTTTTTTTCAGGCTTACATAATACAGTTTTAAAAAATCATTTATTTATTTATTTTTATTTATATATGACAGCAAAATGCATTACAATTCTTATTATACATATAGAACACAATTTTCATATCTCTGGTTGTATACAAAGTATATTCACACAAATTTATGTCTTCATACATGTACTTTGGATAATAATGATCATCATGTTCCATCATTATTTCTAAACCCATGCCTCCCTACCCTTCCTCTCCAACCCCTCTGCCCTATCTAGAGTTTGTCTATTGTCCCAAATTTAAACAAAGGGAAGTCCTTTTATCTGACTCCTGTGTCTTCCCTTTCCCACTCCCAAAATTTTATAAGGAAAAATTTCAAACATTCAGCAAAACTGAGGAATTTTATGGCGAGGCATCTGTAGACCACCTGGATTCTACCATTACCATTTTACTACCCTTTCTTATTATCTATCTGCCTCCATCTATTTTTCCATCTATCTCTGTTATTTTTATGCATTTCAAAGTATATTATATACTTCTCACTAATTACTCCAGCATGCGTATCATTAATTGGAGTGTTTGTTAAAAGCTTTTTTTCTTTTGAGGTAAAATTTTCATAAAATTAGATGCATAAATTTTAAGTGTACAATGAGTTTTGGCAAATACATGACCTGAGTACTCCATGCTTGCATCAAGAACAAAAAAACTTTCCCATTCAATCCCACCATCTAATCCCCAAGGCAACCCCTCTTCTCTTTTTTTCTACCATAGTTTTAACTCTTCTAAAACTACATAAAAATGAAGTCATACAATATATACTCTTTTTTTGTAAGGTTTCCTTCACTCAGCATAATTTTCCTTGAGATGGTTACAGGTTGTTGCATATATTAGAATTTTGCTTCTATTTATTGCTGAATAGTATTCCACTGTATGAATATATCATGTTTGTTTATCTGGTCTCTAAACACTTGGGTTGTTTCTTGTTCTTGACTATTATGAATAAAGCTGCTCCAAACAATCTTATACTAATCTTTATGTGGATATATGTGTTTATTTCTTATTAATAAATATACAGGAGTAGAATTTCTGGACCATAGGGTACATATTTTTAGTTTTATAAGGAGCTGTCATATAGTTTCCTCTGTTTTTTTTTTTTTTTTTTTTGTACTGGGGATTGAACTCAGGGGCGCTTAACCACTGAGCCACACAACATCAACCCCCCCTTTATATATATATAATTTTTTAAGTCATAGTTGGGCACAATACCTTTATTTTATTTATTTATTTTTATGTGGTGCCGAAGATTGAACCCAGTGTCTTGCAGGTGATAGGCAAGTACTCTACCGCTGAGCCACAACCCCAACGCTTCCCCCCTCCCCCCAGGATCTTGACAGACAGGATCTTGCTGAGTTACTTAGGGCCTCGCTAGCTTTGAACTCGGGATCCTCCTGCCTCAGGCTCCTGAGTTGCAGGGATTACAGGAGTGTACCACCATGCCTGGCTCCTCTATTCTTTTAATGTGTTTCCATCATTCTTTTTTTTTTCCATGTTTTAATTGGTGCCTTATAGTTGTACATACTTGTGGGATTTGTTGTTATGTATTTGTACATGTACACAATGTAACAGTATACATTTGCCAATATTGTTTCCATCATTCTTAACACACTACCTTGATTTCTACTATACTGACATCTTCTAGATCCCTCTTATACTGAGGGATAATCCATTTCCTCAGAAAATCCTGGTTTCTTTTAATGGGAAGTAGTATTTAAAAGCCAAAATCTGAATTCTACATATGCTCATTGTTCAGAAGTCTCTGCTCCCACGTTTCTTAGTGAACAGAGGGAGGGGATTTGTTTGTATGTGTGTTTGCACATGCACATGCATGTGTGTACAAAAACATTCATACCTGTGCTTCTATTTCATCTATTAATATTAAAAATCATGAGTTCATACCAATATCTCCAAGTCTAATCTAACACAACAGGATTCATTCTAGTTTTCTCCCTTTCCATTTTTGAAGCTCCCTACTTTGGCTCATGTTATCCTGGGTATATTTATTTATTTGACCCATCAGTCTATTAGTTCTACATGGAACGAATCTTCAATCACTGCTGCTGTCCTCTCTCCTGCTCTTATGTCCTTGTATATTTGAAATCATTTTTTAAATATTTTTAAAATTGTAGATGGACACAATATCTTTATTTGTTTATTTTTTTGTGGTGCTGAGGATCGAATTCAGTGTCTCACAGGTGCTAGCAAGCACTCTACCACTGAGCTACAACCCCAGCCCTTTATGTCTTCTTTCTTACATCACTTAAGGACACTATACTACACTACCCTTCCCTCATGCTTCACTCGGGGTGTTGACATTCCACATAAGATTCCCTTCTCCAAGTGGTGATCTTGGAATGTGGATATTCCTTAGATTCTGATGCTCTATGACAAGGCAGTTTTCAAACCTTCCTCAGTCCATTTAGTGTATTCAGATTCTGGCTCCCAATGCTGGACTTGGGCCAGTTCTGCATGTTGGACTTCTCTTCCACACTGACATCTGCTTCATCCTGTTTAGATTATGATTTCCCCAGGCCAAGCTGTCTGTAAGATATGGAAAAATTATAAACCCCAAAATAGTGTGGCCTGGGAAGAGGGAGTGAGGAAGAAGGCAACACACTGATAACAAGGAGTTCCCAGTTACAGGACAATCCCTGGGAAGGAAGCAAATATCATCCAGTGTTAAGACAATCCCTGGGAAGGAGATATCTATCAAGCCTAAAATGGCAGTCTCTGGGGAGAAGCCAAAGCATTGATCCTTCCCCAAATAAATCCTTTCCTAGTGACAGTACAATGGGACCCTGAAGGGAAAGAGATAAGTACTGAATGCTGACCCCAGACCTTCTATTCTTCCCCAAGTAAAAATATTGCCCAGTGAAAGCAAATTTCAAATTCTAAAACAACTTGTTCCCTGAGTGC